TTTTCCCCCCAATTATCCATAAGACTACTGCCAATTTTACCCAAATTATCCATAAATAACCCTGCATTTTCAGGAAAATTCGGGGAAATTGAACAATTTTACAAGGAATTTCGCACGGAAACATCAACCTTCGCAAATCGCAAGTTTATACGTTTGGCTGCGCTGCTTTTATATATTTTGAGAAGAAAGTGACACCGTTCGATTCAGCGTAAGAAATTGTACTCACGGATGTCAAATGTATTACTAAACAGCAGTATTATAGCGATTTATGGCCTTTGAAAATCAAGCGAATTAAATTGGTCAAATTGTATTGTTGATAAATCGCTCGCACAACAGGGAACAAACTCGCACTACGTTTGTCTTTGTATTTGTAATGCCTCATGGCGCAATAACGATAAAAATATCACCGTTCGATTCAGGGTAAGAAATTGTACTAATTACGGATGTCAAATGTATTACTAAACAATAGTATTCTAGCGATTTATGGCCTTTGTCTTTGAAAGACAAGCGAAATTGTATTGTTAACAAATCGCTCATACGGATGTCAAATGTATTACTAAACAACAGTATTCTAGCGATTTATGGCTTTGCCTTTGTCTTTGGAAGCCAAGCGAAATTGTATTGTTGATAACTTTGGTATCATTGGTTTTCTCTTTTTCGGCCGTATACCAGTGGATTCGTCTTACTTCTCTCTTCATTTTGATAGCATTTTGAGCCGAAAGCCCCAAAATATTTTATTTTGAACGTTTTAAAGGGCAGTTTAATCCTAGTGTACGGACCAACTGGCGGCTGACAGTCTTGAAGAATGTAGCGTACTAAATATAACTTCACTTGTAGGGCCTACCGCATTTTAGTGCTGTGTTAAGCCTTTTGCACTCGTATTCGACTTTTCCGCTTAGTAATGTGCGTATTTGTATGACTTGTATATAGGGTTGGGCAATATTAAAAAAATCATCTCACGATTATTGTCAAGGAAATTATCACGATATTCGATAATATCGCAATAAATGCAATAAAACAATGACCGCATTTTTAATTTTAATTAAAATCATTAATTAAAGAAATATGAAGGATTTGTCTTGTCTAATATTTACTGTACGTACAGTGTCTACTGTGTCTCCGCTGGCATAAATGCTGGGGGCACACAGCGCAAGCAATTGTTCAGCAGATTATAAATGCTTCAAACATCATTAATAATTCATAAGCTTATTGGCAAATCATGTTAACCATAATATGTCACGTGCAGTGGCTTTAAACCTGATAAAACACCCCTAATTAGTATTCTTTATATAAAGAATACTAATAAGGCAGTATCTATTGTAGTCGTGTCCTCATTAGTATTTTTTATATAAAGAATACTAAAGGCCCTGTTACACGGTGCAATTTTTCATGCAACTTGTCTCGCAATGGCGTTGCGAGACAAGTTGCACGAGTCATTGCACCGTTTAACATGCCTTGCAATGGTCAAAATCGTTGCGAGACAAGTTGCATGAAGCATTGCAGAGAGTAGAAGTCGGTTCTACTTTTGGCAACGATTGCACTAATTATTTTTAGCATTGCAGCGTGTAACATGGCTTCGTGCAACTTGTCTCGCAATATTTAATGCTTGGAGAGTTCCTATTGGCTCTCCCCAGTACACGCTTTACTTTAATTAAAATTTGGCGCCAAATAGCGCCTCTCCTTATTCTCTTCGCATGCCTCTGTCCCGTATCGTTGCGAGTTGCATGAATATCATTGCAGCGTGTAACACCTCTTGCAATGCATTATCAAAATCTTTTTTTAAACATTGCGAGACAAGTTGCATGAAAAATTGCACCGTGTAACAAGGCCTTAATAAGGCAGTATATCTATTGAATTTGTTGTCGTGTTTGATGCCGTTTAATAAACTCGCAGGTCATGTTTTATTAGGTCTAAAGCTTTAAACATAATAAAACAC